GGAGCAAAGCTGGTGAGCAGAGAGGTTACGCTGAGCCCTGGCCAGCTGCTGCCACTGTCACAGCCCCACCACTGCTAACTGCTGCCAGAATTTCTGAGCAGGCATTGCCAGGAGCCATTCCTGGCACAGGCGTGCAGCCTGTGCTTTATCTACTGCTGTCACAAGACAGAAAGTGCTACTTTACAAAACATACAACTGGGTTTTACGTTCCATTTTTTTTGGAGTAAAGAAAACCAGCTGAACTGAGTTACTCTCTATGGCTGAAGAACTGTGGTCTTTGTGCTCCTGCTCTCCATCACACCAATCCTGTAAAACTCTCTTGCTGAGGAGAGCTCTGCCAGGCACATGCAGCTTGTGATGCAAATGCAACATTTACCTGAAACCTCACCATTTCTGAGCTCATTTCAAGAGTACTTTGAAACACTGATTATTGGGGCATGTATTAAAGACAAACCATTAGTTATAAAATGAATATAAAAGTACTAATTTTATATAAAATTTCAGTCTCAAATATCTTATCCTAACAGAATGTTCAGTCACACTCTTTTCTCCTGCATGTTAATGCACTAATCTTTACACAGTGACATTTCAGCACAGCCACCTCTTTGCAAAACAGAATTTCAGAATCACTGTCTGAGAAAGTGTGTCAGAAAGTCACAAATTCCTCCATCTCTCAAACATCCCAACGCAGAGCAGGGGAAGGGATTTTTCCCTTTCTACACAAATAAAAATATTTAAGGTAAACCAGAACATTTTAAAGCGAATTAATTAACCATGTAGAGAGCAGCTGCTTTCCTTCTTCACCAGATAACCCACAGTAAGAACGTACTTGTTAAAATATTTTACTCACATAAGTCACAGAGCAGAAAAGCTGAATTCACTGAGAGGAACTCGCTATAAGCTTTTCCAAGCGCAGCATCCAAACCAGTAGCAGGTTTGCCAGGCGCTGCTCCGAGGGCTGGCAGCGCACAGATGTCCCGTACCTGTGACATAACTGCGGTGCTCCCTCGCTGAAATCCCTCCCAGGTCGTTCCCGACTTTGATTAAATCCAGCCCGTGAGCTCTGCGGGCGCCTGTTGTTTTCCTGGACTTATATAGAGCATCCGAGTGAAGTCATGGGCTGGGTCATGTTCCCGAAGCAGCGGCGGGATGATTCAGGTCGAGGCAGGCTGTTGCTGTCGGAGGTTTATTCCTGGCGATGACTCGGGCGTGCAGCATTCACCGGGCTGGGCTGACGGGGGCAGGCAGCTGCGGCAGTGGGGAAGCCGGGTCCTACAAAAACGCTTCCCGGGGAGTCCGCTGGGGCTCTATTTATAGCTTTAAAAGGCAAAATGTTGTTATGGACACAAAATTGACTCTGAACCCTCCTGGGGAAGGGAGGGGAAAAAAAAAGTGGGCATTGCTTTCCCAGCATAACAAAATATGTGTTCTCTAAAGACGATACAAACCTGAAGTCCAAAGCATAACTGTGCCCTGAATCACTTTAGCACAGGGATCTTTAATAGGAGACTGTTTTGTGTCTTTTAGAGAGCTAATAAAGTAGGATATGGTTTTACCCTTACAGCTCTATCTCAGATCATGCTCCAGTGCAGGCTCTTACACAACTCAGTAAAATCACTTTCTACTTCCAGCACTACCAGTGAGTTTAACCATTTCACCCACATCTGTACAGGAACAGCTTACTCAGACATGGATAAACTTGGTGTCCCCCACTGTACTTGCTGACAGCAGTAAAACCTTTCTCAGAACTTCTAATATTTGTTCTCTAAACAATTTTTTAATTAAGTAAAGCCCTGCCATCCCTGAGCATGAATTCTATTTTTCATTACTGGGAGAGGTTTTAGTGGGAGATTGTTTCCCTTTTGTTTTTTTACATGAAATCTTTACATCATGAAAAAAAAAAAATCAGCTTCTGTGACTGCACTCAACACCTACAAAGAACCAAGACTCCAGCCAGATGGGTTAATGTCAGAAGGGCAGGCATGGCAGACCTCCAAACACCTTCCACTAGAGAGATCAATGGTTGTATCGGTAGAAATCTGCCCTAGCCTTTTCTCAGGCTCTGCCAGTGTTTTTAGGGTACAGTGAAGCACAAGAGGTCACAAAAAAATTTGTTTTTCACGATGAAAACATGACATCAAACCACAGCTCCAGCACTGTACGAGCAGGACAGTGAGATCTGTCGGCTATGAACTACTCCCCAGGCCTCCCAATGCCCAAACTGCCTTTAAGCTGAACTCTTTCCAGGCCTGAGATCTTCTCCTTTATTGGGGGAATTATTTGTAGGCTAAAACGCAGCTTGGATGTTATGTCCTTAGCTATTCCTTAGGTTGATTTTCTATTTTAAACCCATATCTTAGTAACCAGAAGAAGCATTTCTGCAGAGCAGCAGTGTCCTTAGTAGGCCAACAAAACAGAAGAATAAAACATTGACCTTAGAAAAAACAGATTTTTTTTTTTTTTATTGTACAAAGCAACAGTTCTCTACTAAGATGTTCCTCTACAGTCCCCCAAGCATCACTATTCTGACTATCTATTATGACAGGAAAATAACATTCTGCGTGTCTAAAGTAAATATTTAGAATTCAAGACACTGAACTATTATCTTCCCTTCAGCTTTCAAAATTGCTTCAGTTAATTGGTACTGCATATTCCTCACTCAAAAGCAACAGAGTTGTGCTTTCATAGCAGTTTTATCTATACAAACAAAATCAAACCACTCATACCTCGCTTGCCATTTGGGGCAGGTGAAGTGTTTAGAGAGGCAGGCAGCACGTCCTGGGGTTTCTAGTACATCCTCAAAGCCTGGAGAGTTCTGTTCTCTTCAATTCCATTTCCTAAACCAGCACTCAAACAAGGAGCACATTTTCTTGCACAGATGATCGGCTATTTTTCCTCACAAAGAACCCAGCCTAAATCTACAGTTAGTTAAATTTTAGAGTAGAAATCCTGTTCACCTGGTTGAGATCCTTGAGATCTGTTAAATGTGACATGAATGACAATGGAACAAGATGGCTCATTTATCCAACAGTGGCTATTAAAAATACAAGTTTTAATCTTCCACTGCAACAGGAATTGTGGAAAACTCCTTTGCTGGAGAAATGGTTTTAACTAAAATATGGCAATGACTATAGAGATTTAAGTGAATGTACACATGGCTGTCACCGTGGTCTCCAAACCTCAGGGAAGATTTGACTTCTCCAGGAAAGTGCTAACAACCTCGGAGGGGACTGACACTTCAGGTAGAGTGAAGATTATACTCTGAATTCCCTGTATGGGTGCAGTGGGTATGGGACTGCTTGGATGTGGCAGGTGGAAAGTATGAAAACAATAGGCAAGTGTTACAGAGGAGTTACAGAGGCAGGATTGGGTCCATCCTGTCCAGCTCCAGCCCTAAAAAAAACCTTCCTCAGGAAAAGGATCTGAGAGGAGCCTGCAAGGATTCTTAAACTTGCAAAAAAAATTTGCAACTTAAGAACAATGCCTCTTCCTGATCAAATGGGACTTGCCATTAAGGTAAATAAATATACTGAAATTAAAATCTACATAATTGATTGGGTGCACAATTAGAGCTGAAGTTAAACTCAAGTAGCAGAACTTGCTTCCCATGAGAGCACACCCTAGACACTGAAACACAGGCACTTTGAAACAGAACAAGTATAAAACAAGTGTACAAATCTGTAATAAGTCAGACTTTATTGTAAACCATTATAATGTAATTACATCAGATACCCTTAAAAGTTTAAGGTAACACCACTGATTAAACAAAATGGTCCAAACAGAGGGCAGCAGAATACAGCTGTTGGTTTTGCTCACATTTGCTATACTCTGAATTTACTTACAAACAAACCCCACATTCAGTTTGAGACGGATACCCACACAAGACGAAAACACCTACAAAAGAGTCCCTTTTTTAAAGATACTGCAGTTTTACTTTGTAAAACCATAGTAGTCATTTTCAGTAATTGAACTGGAAACTTCATCTAAAAAAGTTTGCACGCCTATGCTGTAGATGTACTCTGACTTGGTGTGGCTGAATTTATTAACTTTCACTACTGGTTTCTCCTGTAAAAAGCACAGCAAAGTTGCAAACACGGGTTAGTCAAGCACAGTGGCAGAGATTCCTTGTGATGCTCAGCTCTGAGCAGAGCAGGAGAGCCCAGGCCCCCCTCCCCAAGCTAGGCAGGGATCAGAGCAGACACCTGCCCGAGGGGATCACTTTGCATTGCTCTAATTTGCAACTCAGTTTCTGAGTTTTCCCTGAAGAAAAGCTATAGTACATTTTAGTTAGCAACATTAACAGACAGCATTCACCTATTTAAATAAGACAAGGGGACCTGAACATATTGAAGCCAGAACTTGGAAACCACATACTAGACAACACCAGTGTTTTAAGTTTATGCAGATGTGTCACAGGTCAGATACTAGGAACAGTTAATGCATTTAGGTTGACCACTCGTGGTAAACTCCATCTCCACCAATATTTGTGTCTCTTCTCTAAGTTATAAACCCTTTCTCTTACTCCGGCATTCACTACATAGCTTATTTTCATTAAACAGAATCCTATTTTCTAAGCACAGCCTGAATTAAACTTTTGCTACGAGTTGTCCTGAAGTACATTTGCCAGGCAGAAATCTGAGTGACTGGAGGACAATGCAAACGTGATGTTGCAGTATCACACTTGATCAACTCTTCATGAAAAGTCCATTTCAGCCTGTGCTGCCAATACATTTTAGCAAGTGGTAAGACACAGTGAAGACACTAAACACACACTCCCTGCTCCCACATACAAGCTTGTCAGACAAAAGAACTTGTCCTACGCATAACTACTGCAAGAATTCCAATTTTTACCTTACAGAGAGGAAAACTGCCAGTTTTACATTTTCCATCTTTTTCACAACGATAACAAAGAATGTATAGAAAAAACAGCCAGATTTTGTTATTTAACTAAAATTCTGAATAGAATTATTGTCTTAGTAGAGAAAGTAATTTTTTTCCCCTCTGAAGGTTGCTCCTCCTGTTACTACTGTGGTATTTAAAATATTTCTGTGTCTTTGGATCATAGTGCTTTACTACATCATCTTGCTAGGCATATCTAGATCTCACATCAAGTGACATTTAAGCACTTAAGACATGAAAAATTAGGCATTCAGAATCTTTGCTATAACCACCTTCAAGAATCTGCTCCATAGCGCTTTACACTGTTTTGCACTTGGTCAATAAGCTTGAGGTCTGCTCAAAACAAATATTTTTACATGATTAAGGCCATAACTTTATACTGACACTTCACAGACTAAACATGAGACTAGAATAATTTTGATAATTGAAGTAACTGGAGGAGGGAAAAGGAAGATAAGATGCAAGCTCGCACAGTGAAATTTGTGTGCGCTGCTCCGTTATCTCAGCTGGCGAGGACAGCCATGGCTCCGCACTGGAACGGAGCACATGTTCAGTAGCTTTAGTTCACTATCTGAAACAGAACAAATCCTATGCTAAAAAAAATAAATGCTGACAATTGTGACAAGAGCCAGTCCTAGCTCTTAAATCCCTTTGGAAAAGTGAGCTGTAGGAGACTATTCTGTTGATGAATTCCTTGAAGTACTGTGCTTTTGGAGATCTGCGCCCACCCAGTGGTCAATAGTCAAGAGAAGATGCAAGTCATACAATCAATAAAAAACCCCAAACCCCCCAAACCAGAGGCAACACTGATCAGGGACATTTCCCCATCCCCACCCCCATGTCAAAAGAACTCAGGTAAACTTCCACTGTCATTAGTCTCTAGATTTAGTCTAAAGGAAACACTAGTACTGTAACTTATTGCAGTTCTTACGTTTCAGTGCACAGTAACAAAGGTCAGTGGCTCAACTAAAACCTTGGGTTTGGTAAATGTCCCTTTGAGCTGGCTGGACACTCTGAGGTGTCAGAGCATCGTGTCCCCTTGGCAGCCACCAGGAAAAGGGATGCTGGAATAGTGAAAGTAAGCACGGGAGCGCACACTTCAGTATTTACTAAGGCCCAGTTAAGTGGTCTGGATAATAAATCACATTAAGACCTAGTAAATCTATAAAAAATGTAAAAAATCTTAAAAAGTTCTGAGCAGTTTTCCAATGAAACTGGTTTAAGGCTTGGAATTTTTCTGGTGTCCAGATACTACAACAGACCTGCATTCAAGGTCTGTTGTCACCTCTTTGACACATCGCCTTGTCCTGCACAAGGTTTAGCTAAGCAAGGAAAGCTGTCAGAAACAATCATTTAGAAAATATGCAAAGCAAAAGGATATAACTGAAAACATGTCTGCTAGGTTTCAGATCACCACGTGCTCTCAATTACCAGAAGAGACACTGAAAAATCCCAGAAACGCTGTGGTAACAACTGCACTGTACCCCTTGGGGTTGTTCTTTTACTATTGAAGGATAATGAGACTTTATGGAAATTAAATAGGAGAAATTTTGTTGTTGTTGCTGTTAAGCACATTAAGTAGAAGATTGCTTTTCCAAGAAAAAACAAGGGACAGAATTGTATTTGCAATATTGTAGCACAACTGCTATAATCAGATCACAGTCCTGTACTGCAGGCCCTATAATAGGAAAAGTATCAGAAATGTTCCATCTCTTTTGGGTCATTTGAGAGGTACGCACAAGAGACTTGCAGAAACAGAAATAATTAGAGTATCCATAGATACTCATTTCACACATAACTTATCACAATGGATTTTTGTTATACACTAAAGTGCACCTTTGTCAAATATGCAAACACCACCTCCTACTGAAAAAGGTATTTTCAAATTATATGGTCAAGAGCACACATAGGACTGCATTTTTTAGTGATATTTGGTGACTTCAGCAGTGACAGAGAGCTCTTCCCTTTGCAATGCCTTTGTCTTAAATCAGGAGACAAGGATAAATAAGATTTTCACTACAAATCTTTTGACCTGTTCTGCACAAAAAAGGGAACTGTACCCATTTCTCTGATAAAGAGAATCTTTAAATACAACTGTATGAAAATATAACTTAAATATAAAATAGTCAGATAGATTTGAGAAGACTTGGAAAAAAATCTTTGTTCCACCTATTAGTTCCATAGGTACCCGGTAGCAAGTAAACATTTGTACTTAAAAAAATAATGTTAAGTTACAGCTTGTAACCATAAACTATTCTGCTCTAGGAATTATGCTGCAAAAGCCAGTTTTAGTAATAAAACACACTCCTTTAACTTAGTCAACTCTGATGCCTTTTTGAGAACTCCATACACTGTCCCATCAGTAACTGAAAGTGAAAGATTCTGTATCTGTTCTCTCCGATCTTCTCTGACACCTCGCACACGAATCCTTAGTGACTCGTCTATTTTCCACACATGATGAGGGGACATTCTTGCATAACTGGTCAGTGTGTTTGTAGTGCAACTGAACTGAAAGTCTTCCAACTGCTTTGCCTTCTGTTGGTAGACCTTGCTTCTAAGTCAGTTTGTATGAAAAGGGAGATGCAATTGCAACATTAAACCCCACTGACAGAAGTTTTTGCCACGAAACCTGCAAGTCCACAGGCCAAGGAATGTGTCATACGGGCAGACCAAAGCGATGCTTCTTCTTCTTGATGGGCTTTAAGTTGGTCAGCCTGCGCAGATCCTCCTCGGCGTCCGACTCCTCCATCTCATCATCTGCTGAAATAAGGATCTAAAAACAAATTACAGCTTCTGAGCACATGGAGCAGTCACACTCTTCTTTCTACTTTTAAATTTTACTTTTTTACGCTTGTAGAGCATCCTATTATTTGCTCAAGAAAGAGCTTACAGAACACAATTAGGATTTACTGACACACTATCAAACATCATTGCAGATACTATCAGAAACCTCCAGTACATTTTTCAGAAGGATGGATACATATTATTCTCAATACCGCCACTGACTCTGAACCCAAAGAGTGATGCCAGAACAGTGGAGGCAGCTTGAGAGAACATTTAAGGTCTTGATTCACACTGGTAACACTGCAGTCACATCACCTGGCAAACCCATATAAATAGCACCGTTTGTCTCACAGAAAAGTTACATTAACTTACTAAAGCTAAACTGACTCACCTTCAAAGAAACCACCCATCTTTCAGCTGAACTAAAAACCGCTCACAATGTAATTTAGAATAACGTTATGCTATGGCAGCTGTGTAAATAATTCTCGAAAATCAGGTCAGTTGCCTCCACCAGCTCCCTCTCACTTTAAGCTATTAACCTCTCTTTGAATTAGAATTGTCTATTAGTTTTGTATTCCCTGTGAGGTTTTTTAAAAGCATATGCAGCAGAGCCCACCCATGGTATTTACGTATATTATTGGGTCTTTCTGCCCATCTGCAAGGAAATTAACTGCCAGAGTGGTACAACAATGACTTTTTCCTTAACTGGTTCTCAACTGCCAATGCCAGGAGCTACTGCTCAGCACACCAAACCTAAGTTGACAGTGCTACAATGAAATGACTACCAGGAGGGATGAACTGGACTGATATTACATTAATTGCAATAATTAACTCTACATACTTCTGACTCTGACTCCTCATGTGATGCTGCTCTCCTGTATCGAACTTTACTTCCATTTCTTGAATCTTGTCCTGCTTCTTTTTCTTCAAGTTTAGCTTTTGTCTTCCCTTTCTTCATAAGGAAATTATCTACTACCCAGAACATTAACGCCTGTTAAAAAGAAGGGGAAAGCAACAGTTGAGCTTTCTTCAGAGTAGAAGAAAGGTCCAAATACTGACCAAATGAATTTGACAATAATTCTGAATTGGCCAAAAGCTAAATCTGGTGCAGACACAGTGTCACATATCTTATTACACCTTTCAGCAATGCTCTAGATCCCAGCTACTTTATCCCTTTGTGGAAGAGAAGAAAATCAGAACAGTAGTGACTATTCACGGTGTTTGTATATTAACTCTTCATGTAGCAATGCTTTACCAACAGTTATTACATGCAAGGGCACCCACTGTCTCTGGCTCTAATCCCTAAATCCCTGATTGCTGCAAGAGTGTACTTTGGGAAGGATGACTGCACACTTGCCCTTTTCCTCTGCTCCACCACAGGCCAGCTGCTATTAGCTATGGCAGACACAGGATACTTCACAGGACGTCTGTCCTTAGGCCAACTGCTTCCTAAAGCAAATTTCACTGTAATTTTATAATCTCTGTGTCAGTCAATCTACTGAAGTCATCAGGCCAAAGGGGTCTATGAGGCATTTCTACCCCTCTCCTGAACCTGGTTCTTTAGCTCCATATGGATTTCAGCTTTGTAAAATCTACATATCCAGACAATTTACCCATTCTTTAGCAGCCCTTAAATTAAGCACCAAGGTACAGAGTGTTTTAAGGAGTAATGTTAATTAATGAACACATGGCAGAAGGATATCCAAGTAAACACCTCACTAAGTGAGTGGTACTAACGTTAACAAAGAAAGGAACTATCAGCATGACGATTGCCAGCTCCAGCTGGGGGTTCTCTATGGGGTTCAATAAAGCCACCTGTGAAAAGAAAAGCACTGAGTTCAGCTCATGGCAGTACATGCACACAACTGGCTTAGGCAGGGCAATGTTCATGTACAAGCTAATGAGACAGAAATAACGCAGGTGAACCAAAAAAGGGCAGCTTTGAGAAAAGCAAAGTATTTAGGACAGCTTATAAATTACCACAGATAAGTAAGTGGGGCTGACAAGAAACTTATCTCTGTCATTTTTGTTTACTGAAGTCTGAGGAGCTGCCTTAGAATCTTGAACATTTTAGAGCTGCTCCCAAGGAACATGTTGTAGATCCATCTTTAGGAAATTTAAACAGAGCAGGGTTTTACAAAATACACAGTAAGGAGAACAGAGTTCCTGAAGTAGTCCAGGGCATACAGTAGAGCTATCTAGTTTCAGTGAGTAGTATCAGCACCACTTTGAATATCTGGCTACACAGAATCCATCAAAATAAAGATTAATGCAGTCAGCATCAGTGGATTCACTAATCCACCACAAATTTCTAAAAGTCTACAGTTAAAACCTATCAACAAGGTCAGGCAAAGAAAATTCTTCAAAATACTACAAGAATACAAAATAGCTGTAGGCAAGAATTAGAGTTAAGAAAAGAAAGAACCACTTAGTAGTTTCAAGGGTACTTTAGACAAGGAGATAGAATTAAATTTTGGATATTTCAGTTTACAAAAAACCCTCCAAATACAATATGATATTCCTGGCAATGGATAAAGGTCTCATTAGCAGTATCCCAATTAAACTAAAAGAACATAACACTACTACAGCGTTAATTGGCAATGAGTGTAGACAATCATGATGCTTGAGCCAAACCAATGAACATTGCTGGGAGCCTTTACAGCTTCCACCTGAAATTCTTCACTTGTCTGTAAAATGCTGTAAAAACACCAACCTCTTTCCACTGAGGTATAAGCAGCACTATGATGATGATGGTTTTCTCAAATGTCATAATCATTATGTACAGAGCACATTGGCCCACCCAAGCACTGCACTGCAGGGGGTCACCTGCAAGAAAGAAGAAAGGTTCAATATATGCATAGGTTTGATTTACTTCATAGTAAACATCTTTAAAAATCAGTATTGGAAGAGGCAGCAGGGCTGCTAAATCCTTCAGAAGTATCTTCTCCAATTCCTTCACTGCTGCTCCTTCCCCTCTCTCTGCCTCACCCCAGCTTTCAAAAAGTATCAGAAACTGAATCTAACAGGACTTTGTCCCATTCAGCAGTACCTGTGATGTGCTCACACTGTTTCAAATAATCTGATGAAAGCAAGACAGATAAACTTCGTGTTTCTCCTCATATTGTTATTTTTGATCCTCTATCATGACATATTAAGTGTCATAAAGGGGAAAATTTGAGGGAAACATGGCTGGGAAAACACATTTCCCTTTAGTCTAAGTAGAACTTAGATTTCTACCATTGTCTCTAGGCTATCTTAAAGATATTTTTCATCTCTACAAAGTTAGTTACCACAAATAACCAATTGAAGCAACAGGTGCAAGAGCTGCTATGAAAAATTCAACTGAATAAAAAATTAGAATCATATTTTAGTTCCAGTGTGAAAGGGTTTGAAATTCTGCTGCACCTCAAGGGCAGAATGAGAACCTGAGAGCATGAAGTATCTGCCAGGACAGAAATAAGACCACAAATACTTGAACAGGAAAACTTATGCACACAATTAGACTCTTTGAAAAAAGGCAGAGAAAGAAAAAGAAGACAAAAAAGGGGAAAAAAGAGGATTGGTAAGCCTAACAAGCTTTGCAGGTGAGCTTGAAGCTGCACTTCACCAGAAAACAAAAGCAAGCTCTGGGGAGGGTGACAGATTTTTCGTCTTTGCAGCAGCTTCTGCAATCTCGTCAAAGGCAGCTCCAAACTCTTAGCCTGGGGATGAATAATGGGCAATGGAAAATCAGATGCCTTTATGTGTTGGTAATGCATAATGGACAGTGGCTGCTTCCTTTTCTGGAACACTCCTGAAAGGCTTTCAGTATTAATACTTGGTAATAGTCTGAGACTTAGGGTTTGCTGCTGAAATGCTACACAGAGAAACTGATAAATCAGACTGGAGTCCAAAACAACAAATACTTCCTAAACAAGTTTTACTGGATGAGTTTGTAATCAACACTCAACAGTCTGAGAGGAAAGCAATTAAAATGCTTGAGTTTTACAGTTACATACTACAGTTACAGCTTCTCTTGTAAAAACCCAAAGAGCTAGAATCTTGAAAGGGAAAACATCAGTAAGTCAAAGTCAAGCAAGTGTGATTCTTCTGAAGACACAAGGCCTGAATTAGGTTTCAGAATTAGATTTTAGCAATTAAATTCTATACCTCACAGTTTTACTAGCATTCTCTATTTTTTCTCACTAATTAACAAATATTAAAAAATAAACTAGCTTTAGCTACAGCCCTACTATTGAAATGAACAGTTTATTCCAATCTCTTTTCCAATGTTTATTTAATTCCTAAAAGCAAAGACAGTGAAAACAATTTTGCATCTTTTGCAACTCTCAGGAGATTTTGTACATGCAAATACTGTGAAACTCCGTATTAAAAGTGTTGTGCACTCTCAGCAATGAATGTTTTGTTCCACAATGTTTTTGTGGGGAGTGGTGCTGGTTCCTTTGGGGTTTTATTCTGGTACATGACTGAAATTAGAAGTTGTGTATATTAAATTCTACTTGAAGATTTTTGTGTGCCCTACTGCACCTACAAAATTATCTCTCAGCTATAATTACAAGTGGGGACAACAGGGATGCTGCCTACTTTGAATTTAGCAAGTCTTTTGACAGTGTACCAGTAGTAACCTTGAAAAAAGGTGGGAAGATACAGACTGGGGAGTGAAGATACAATTCTGATATGAAAGAAAAAAAGCTTTCACAGTGAGAGTGGTTAAAATCTACTGGAGTAAGTTGTATAGATAAAGGGATTCTTAAATCCTAAACCATGGAGAAATTTAAAACTGACTGGACCATGCCCTCAACAACTCACTTGAGCTTTGAAGTTAATCCTGCTTTGAGCAAGAGGCTGGATTATATGGAGTTCCTTTCTAACCAATTTTTTCTATGGTTTTATAAGCCATGAAATTCAAGTTAATAACATCACCACACCCAGAAGGTGCTCCAATGAGCACCTTCAGACATTTGCACATTCAGAGATTCTGTGCACAAACCCAAATCAGAACTTTACTGTTAATGTTAAACTCTAATTTAATTTCTAAAGTCTCTTACAGTCATCTCTTGAATTCTGATTTTACACTTGTCATATATAGAATAATCCAGCAAATTACTGGAAATCTTGCTAGTGCAAGAAAAGCAAATAAAGAACAAAACTGAAAAATTTTGAATCCTCTGCAGTGACAACTGTAGCAGCATTTTTGGAAAATGCTGGGCAATGCCAGATTAGTCTATACTTGTATCTGCCACTGCCATCAGCTGCTTTGTAGAAGTATGTTTAGAAACAGTTCTTGAACCCAATACCTGTTATTCCTCTACCCTGTAACTTCCTTCTGTTTTTCAGATCCTGAAATTTTTTTCTTAAGAAAATGCCAACTCACAGAACTACTCCAAAATAAATTTTAAATAGTTTTGAAGGCAGTGCTATCTACCCCACTTGGCTACAAGTAAGTTGCTCTGCAAGGGGCAAATAAAAAGCTGGAGGAAAAAGATGCATCATATACAATTTCTGAGCTCTGCCATGGAGAGGCAAAGCTAAGGAAAGAGGCCCCAGCACAATTCAGTTGCCAGTGGAGTTTATAATCACCAGGAGGGATTTATCACCTGTCTTCTACTTGCAGCAACAAAAGTAGCTCAAGACAAGAAGGAAAGGAGAACGCAGGGAACATTTTTTTCAGTACAGATCATGACTCCTTTTCTCCTCTTTACACACTCACATATATTAACTGATTTTGCACTTCTATTAAAATCCAACTGCTGAAGTAATGAATCTGAAAATATAAAACCATAGATATGAAGACAAATCCAATACAATTAAAAATTCTGGTGTAAAAAAGCCCTCGAGGGAGCGTCATGGCCCTTTGTTCATAAATCAGACTGCAGTGCTGTTTTGCTGTACAAACAGCCACCATTTATAAATGCTGATATTTTGATATCCATTCCTTCCTTGAGGCATTTATGCTTAAAAACTGTCCTCCATATAAAGAAGAGGCTTTTAAAACCAGCAGGACACTGCTATTTTTGTGACAGCTTCAAGTAATGAATCACCAGGGATCAAGTAATAGAGCTAAGAAGGGAAATGAGCTCACAGTGAGAACTAACTTGAGACAAATGATTATTTAGGCTCTAGAAACACAAACATCACTCAGTCACAAGAAGAGACTTGTCTGGGGGTGGAAGGAGGGCTCCTGTTTGTTTTCCCACATTTACAAACAAACTGAAATCACACTGATCTCCAAGCTGAGGACTTGACTCTACTACTCCAGATAAAAAGCTCCAAGACTCTGACACTCTTCAGTGAACCATGGGGTGGAGAAGAGAGGAGATGTGTTGAGAAGGCTTCAGGGTGACCTTATTGCAGCATTTCAGTACCTGAGGGGGCTCCAAGAGAGCTGGAGAGGGACTGTGGAAAAGGTTGTGGAGCAAGAGAACAAGGGGGAATGGCTGCCCAATGCCAGAGGGCAGGGTCAGATGGGATATTGGAAGGAATTGTTCCCTGGGAGGGTGGTGAGGCCCTGGCACAGGATGCCCAGAGAAGCTGTGGCTGCCCTGGGTCCCTGGCAGTGTCCCAGGCCAGGCTGGATGGGGCTTGGAGCAGCCTGGGATAGTGGAAGGTGTCCCTGCACATGGCAGGGGGTGGAACAAGATGGGCTTTGAGTGATCTTTCAAAACAAACCACTCTGTGATTCTATGCTACACATTCCATATGTAACTTCAAAACGCCAAGTTCTAAACACACTTGCAACCCCACAGAACTGCACTTTAGTCCCTGCTTTTACCCTACTTTATTTTAAAAAAATCTTATGAAAAATAACGGTGTTCTTTGGGTCAAACTGAAAAATGTTCAATAAACCAGTGATAGAAGGGTTTTCACTTCAGCAACACCAGGGACACTTAAAAGAAGATAACAGCAAATGATCCAATGCAACTTGTTCTTTTAGATGGGATTTCTTACAGAGGGTCTAACCTTACTGCACCTGCTTAGTTTTAGCCAAAATGAATAACTTTCCATCTGCTCTCTAATTCTCTTTATACCAGAAGCCTCTCTCACATGATTAATGGAAATGCAGATTTGCAATATGCTTTAAAACAGTCCTGACAATAGCTTGATTAAAAACCTAACACACTAAGGGCAGGACAGCACATTAATAAAGATGCAGAAAACAAAGTTAGTGACTAATAAAATGATCTGATACTAGAGAGAACAATTAACAAAAGAGGGTTTATGTAACTTCATACATCACTTAAACACACACACACACAGAGGAGAACACTCAATAAACAGGTTTAGGTGTTTCAGATCTCCTAATTCAAAGTGACAATACTGGAGCAGCCACAGACCACCTCCAAAGCACTACACAAGTTCATCTGCTGATTTTTAAGAACTTAATTACTGCAGTCAGAAATGTCTCATTACTAAAATAAACCCAGCTTCATTTTGAAAGTCAGTAAGAAATAGAGAAATTTCAGAGGAGTGAACATAATCCTCACATCTCCCCATCCACAGACTGCTTATTGTTGAAAGAACATTAAAATGGGAAAGGACAATAGATTACACACAAAAAAATTTCAAAATGTTATTAGGGAGAAATAAAATCTAATATCTGACATGATTACAAATACCTACCTACAACTGTAATAGGTACACCTTTTTTTTTTCTCTAAGAGGAAACTCAAGTTTTATATGGGCTGAAAGCTGCTCAAATGTCATTAAATGGCTTTGAGCCAAACTAACAATCAGAAAATGGGGCTCTGAGGCAAGAGCCTCACCTCTTTCCTTGCCCCTTTGCCTTCCCTGGGCATTGGTGCTTACCTAATCCCTTAGAGACACAAGCCTGGGACAAATCTGGAGAAACTATTTACTTTTTTTACATCTAGTGAATTTTTGATGGTTTAGCTCTCTTGGTCAATTCCCTGAAGAACCAGATATGCACCAGTCCAAGGAAAAGAGTGGAAATACTGGACTGTGGCATGTGAGTTAAAAGCAGACAAGCAGTCTTGTGGCAGTGCTGATTTAAACAGCTTAAGTGGCCATAAACTGTACCCTAAAAGATACACATTAAATCTCTATAAATCTAACATGCCCTAATAGCATGGGCAGTTATTTCTAAGTTGCTTATCATAGCTAAACCTCTGACATTAAAGCAAATAGCAGTTAATGTTATTTGATTGCAAACTTCTCAAGCTTTTAAAGTGCTCTAATTTCACAAGGCCTTCACTTATTCTGTCAGCTACTTAGGATCATAAAAATCAAAGAAATCTACAAAACCAAAATCCTACCAGTAATAATTATAAAACTGCTGTGAAAGCTCCTAATTTGTTAGGCAAACATTTTTAACTTCCTTAAACTTCACCCCCACCAAACCATAGGGGTTGCTGTTTTTCTTTCTGATGAAGAGCCACAGCTCTCTTACAAGGCAACATCTCCTCCCATTTCTGTCTCAAGGAGCTGCAAATGGGATTTCTAACATGTACACAAAACTTTCATTTTCAGCAATCTGAGAGTAACAGGCAGAACAAAATTAAATGCTGGTGTTAATAATGTGAGTGATACTCAACTGCAGCTGCAAATCCACAACTTGTGCACATTAGTGGACTTCTAAGTAACAGAAGATAAATTCTGCAACTTCACCTGGAAGTGATTTCACAGTCTGTCCCTCACACATTTTTCACCAGTGATACAGGCCCTACATGCACAAGCTCCAGTGATCATTCCTTGAGGAGCAGCACAGATCATCTTGCCATTCCCTTCTCTGAAGGGATGTGGCTGCTTGAAGAGGGCTGGCAGAACTCTTGGTCTGTATCTTCAGACAGTGGCATGTGGTTCAGTGAAAGCTTTAGCAGGAAATGACCTTCCAGCAATCATTGTTTTAGAAGTGTTTCAGAGTAAATTTATCATGCTGGTATTTTTTCCATGAGATTATAATATCATAATTTGTTGAATCACTCCTTAAAAAAAAAAAATAAATTCAAGCAGTCATTCCAAACTCAGTGAATGCTCAGAGACTTGTTGAGCTTTCTAAGACACAAGGAGGATACTGCGATACAGAACTTAAAAGAGCCCTCATGACAAGTGAAATATTAAAATGACTGTACAAAGATTTTAGGATGAGTTAACCACTTGCTGAAATACTGTGGGATTCTACCCAGAGAACCACCTCAGTTCCAGAACAGAACATTTACCATATTCCCCAAAGCGAAGGGACTCCCACTGCTGCCACTCCACGATGCTGCTGACAGCACGGATCCCGATGTAGATCAGCAGCATTCCTAAGGTGGCATCCAGCAAGAAGTTGATAAGGTACCTGAAAGGAAAACCAGACAAAAACCCAAGGAGTCAGGGTCCATTTTCTACAGGTTCAGGGTATTTAAACACCATGACTGATAAAAGATCTGTAAGTATGTTGAGAAGCCAGAGTATTGAGAACAATCATTTACCACTTCTGTAATTACACTGAGTGCCTACAATTTAAATAATTCTAGCAGTCTCAATATTTTTTTTCTGTCCTTAAAGATCCCCAATCTTTCTAAAAACAGTTATTTTCGAAAAACTGTTCACCAAATCTGAGTTTGAATCAACGTTGCATTAGTCAAACATTAAAATCAAGGCTGAGTGTCTGCAGAGGAACCTCGGCAATCCCGATTCTGCACGAGTCCCGCCGAGGCCACAAGAGGCTGCTGTAAGCCCGCAGCAGGAAGGCAGCAGCAGGAGCAGCAGGGAAAATCAGAGGTGCCAGCAGCTATTCCACAGCCAGAGGGGGCTCCCGGCCCCCAGGGATGCCCGGGATTCCCCAGAACACCGAGATTCCCCAGCACGCCGGGCTCACCCCGGGATGTGTCCTTAACCTCCCCACAGCACCAGGCAAGTCTGGACTCACTTTCAAACTTAGGGATATTTTTCCTACGACAGATTTTGGTTAATACCACATGATATTTTTTTCTGCTATCAAGAACCTGCACCCTTGTCCAAGAAATTATCCAGCTCCACACTGTAATTTCAGTAATCCTGAGAGCACTGAATAATCTCACTCTCCTACTTGTTTTCTGTCATGTTACACTTAGATTAAAAGTGGGATTTGAAAATAAAAATATGTAGATGCAGGAGAGAATGCACATGTCAGTAAACCCTTCATTTTGCCTAGCAAAATGTTTTGTGTTATTTTTAATAAACAAAGTTATTTTTAATTTAAAATAGTGTAATACACTATCGTGCCTTAGCTTTATACACTGACAATTTCTGACATGCTTTTGTTACCTCACTTGAATATGCACTTTGAGTTATAAAAATTGAATGAAAGTAATTTGCACCTGCCAGTTTTTAAACCTATCAGGAAATTCTTAAATCCATAAGCAAGGAAAATCCTATGATGATGTCTGGTATTGTTGAAACTGTCATAATTATAATTCAAATTTTACAGCTAATGTGCTAAAATAAATGCATTTTGCCTAACAGAATGCTTTGTGGTGTGAAGAGAAAAGCAGTGTCCTTGCACATTTCTCCCATGTAGGAGCACAGAAGGAACCAAGGAGGAATCAGGAATAAAAACCGGCTTGTGCAGCAACACAAGCATGTTCCTTGAGCTGTGTCTCTCCTTTGTTTACCCAAAAACAACAAGTGAGCAGATGCCATCGAAAGGAACTGGATTGGTTCTAAAAGGCAAATTACTGGGCTTTTAAAAGTAATTTCACAGCTTTCATTACCAGCAATGTGTAAGCTACTTTGAGCATGAGCCTTATCAAGAACAAACCCAAACAATTACCATTTGCTTCAGGAGCTCCTGTAAAGAGCCTGTCGGGGTCTTAGTCATAAAATTTTCAGGTTTAATACACTACAGAGAAATGCTTATCTATTTAGTCACACTGCTCCAAGCGTGACATTGCAGAATTAATTTCTGTACTGCCTGGCTACCAAGCAAGATTTCCCATTTTTAACAAAATTAAAATAATACTGCAGCAGCCAATGTAGGTTTTAGAAGCAAATACAAACACAAATGATTTTTGCTAAATAACCCTGAAAGCAAACTCACTTTATATTACAGCCTTGCTTTACCACAGTGAACACAACTGGATATTCATTTCCTTTGGTCCCAGCACCTTCAGTAAACAAACCTGAACTGCAATGTGCATCCCAAGTCCCCACTCGTTCACTGGAGAGGGACAAGTAGTAAGGCTTTGCCTTCAGGTTTAAAATAGCTACACACAGTCCAGACTCCTGCCAGCCATGAACATAAAGAAAAGAATCCTGATACTTGATTAACTAAGTTTAAACCACAGGTTTTTTAAAGTGACTGATTTTTACCATGAAAACTGTCTTCTCAGCTTTATCTTGCCTTACTATCCACATATACCAGCTCAGCCACAGAACTTCCATAAAGGCTATTTATTCCAAAATTAAACACTCACAGTGAACAGGGGTCTTCTTCTGTAAGGTCTGATAAATAGACATTTGCGAAGTGGATGAACAACATCCCTATGGCTTGCTTGGAAGTATCTAAAAACCTAGGTAAAGTAAAAACAGTTTTTAGGACACACAAAACTGTTTACAACACAGCCAGACATTGCAAATTAAATTAAATGTTAATTAAAACTCCATCTCTATTACTATTTTTTTTTCTCCAAATGAGAACACACAGAATGACAAAAGTATCATAGTATTTAGTTCTTATTTAACAATGTTCCATTTTAAATTCTGCCCCTATTTTTTCTAACAATAACCCAGATCATATTAACTTGAAACCTACCACTGTAAACGTAAAGTCTGCGGGATATCCTCTTGGTATCATATGCATTATCCAAGAGCTAATCCTGACTAACTCTAGCTAAGTCTTTAATAACCTCCTGGAAACAATGAGTATCCCAGCCTTGATAGGTATTTTGGACCTTTTATGTTTATGCATTTTTAGCAAGCCTATGGCATGGACAAAAAAAAAATCCTCATCCCATGTTTGTGGGCGAACAACTTAATAGTGACTAATGAGTCCTTTATCTACAGTATTTCATTTAAAATTCAGCATATTTTTCACCTGGAAGCATGAACTGGTTTCACTGAATTTTATCTACAGTACAGAGCTTGGAACATACTGCAAAAGAATTCCAACCTTGACAATATTATCTCCAAAGCAGATGATAAACTCAGAGAGAAAAGAGTTTGTTACTCAAGGGGAAAATATAAACCCCCACTTAGACAGTGATTCAGCAATGACTCCAGCTCTTACATCCAGCTTTCAGTGGATGTTTCATTAAATGTAAAACATAAGACTCATAATAAGTATTCTGCAGGCAAGAGTGTATTCTTTGTATTATTCAGAAAAAGAACCATTTTGCCTGTTGTTTGCATGTCTAAAAAGATCTAAACACCCCAACAGATCCAAATGACATTTTATGCCTGAATTCATCTACCCTCCCTGATAACTGTCTTGAACTTCAATCTCTTCATTCACTGCATGACACAGAGAACTGAGTGTTGGAGATGAGGCAGGAAGCCAGTGAGTTACATATCTAATCAGTACACTCTGCTATAAATAACAATACTTGAGTCCCAGAACAAGATTCTTTGCTTAAAAATTAAGGGCTATCAGTGCACTTGTCAGGATTTCAGGCTGAGGTAGACTGTAGTACACAAAGATTTTGTACTTCTTTTTTCAAAAAATAAAGGTCAGTGTTAGTTTTGAGAAGCAAATTTGTATGAGCAGAATTTAAACCACTGAAGTCTTGAACAAGTGGAATGGCAGCCTTAACACTTACACACCAGTCTCAAAATTGGTACAGCTTATGTTGGCATTGCTTCAATCCAGGAACTTTTAAAGTGTAGTAAACACAAACACACTTTTTATACCTTGTATTTTTTATGGTTGATGTACTTGTATTTTTTATCATCCTGTTCTCTATTTTATACACAGCAGGATACCAAGAAAACATGGAATTTTATCTGAGCCCAGCTGAGATCTTCCTCTAAGCTTAAGCAAGTTTGTAGATGTTCAGATGCATCTTAGGGCTACTCTAAGTTTCTGTCTTTAGGAAGAAGCACAAATTGAAGCTTTATGCCTAAATGTACATCTCTAGAGATTCCTGGAAGTGTTCAGTATGAAATGACTACCCAGGAAACACACAGGAGGTAGTCTGACTCATGTATTTTGGTAACTTTTTTGGTTCCTCACTGACAGTTACCAATATCTTGTCATCGCTTTTCTTTAATCATCATGCACTAACATCAGCCCTTCAATTTCTATAACGTGCAAGAAGAAAAGAAGTTAAGAATGAAGCATGCAGAAACTTACCATATCCTCCAGGGACGTCTTTCATGCTTTGGTTCTCTGAAGCGTTTTACTAGGAAGAAAAAAAAAATATAATTGAAGACAATCAGCAGCTTCCAAAGCAACAAAAATATAGAAAAGTGAAAGCAAATAGTCTTGCAGAAATGTTACATCCTTCGATGAAATGGATCTTTCACTACTGCACTTCACCATATCTAACTCCAAGGATCCATTTTCAAAGAAACTCCCTTCTGTCACCTCTCAGTTCCTAGAGCTCCATTCTCTGACTGCCAATATCCCTCACATGGAACAATAATCCACATCTGACCACCATTCCATTGGCCTGAGCTTTCATGACTGCCCACCCAGAAAATTTCATTTCCAACAGTAAAGCAGGTATTAGAAAGAGCTGTTTCTTTTCCTCACTGGAGACCCAAACCCAAACTGGAAAGTATTCTCATAACTTGGGGCAGTCTATAACATCAGAATGACATCAAGTGAATCAGTAGTAGGACAAATACATTCTCTGACAATGTGTCTCTATTTTGTTGGCAAACTGAATTACAGAAGGAAAGGACAGATTTTTTTTTTTTTTTTAGTCTGATAATCGCTTCACAGAAAGGCAGACAATTGTTAACGTACTGGAAACAAAAAAAGAAGAAATCAGTATTAAAATAATGACAACTATACACAAAGGCAAGAAAGTAGATAAGTTTGTCTATTGCAGTTTCATTGCAGTTTACTATACAAACTGTTTGGGCATCTGATAGAAAGCTCCTTTCATAACCTGCCCAGCTACTTCCAATCCATCCCAGGTCCATCTGGAAGGATCTAGACGACTCCTGAAGAACAAGTGTGCGAAAACAGAGGGACAAGGGCATAAAAGCAGCTTCTGATGTGCAAACAGTGGCTGGTCCATATATTTGCTCTGTCTGGCCTGAAGTTTGTCCCATCTTCTTAGGAAATTCCATTTCTAACTCCTTCTGGGCAAGAAAACCTTTTTTCCTGCTGGTAACACACACTCAGCCCTGGCACGGATCAGAGCTGGGGCAGCCTCACCTCTGTCAGATCTGGCCTCATATCATAACACAGATTTATTCTTTGTTACAGCTGCAAGATACTAAATTCTTACACATCCCAAAGAACACAAACACAACAAGGTAATGTGAAACCTTTCCACCAAGAATGGGCTGTACTTCCTTCTGCCCAAATTTCAGTACCACTCACCAGTTCCTTCAACATAAGTTCTTGAAAAACAAATATTTAGGCTCTTAGTTCAGAAATTATCTCTTAATAAAAAAAAAAAAAAAAAAAAAAAAAAAAAAAGGGCCTTGATTCCCCTCCACCCCTTCAAATTGCAGAGATTCTGGTTCAAGAGGCACAAACCATAGCAGGTATAGTCAGACAAAATATCAACAGGTAATTTAACCTGCTTCCCCAGGTATTAGTGATGAATTTTGGTTTAACATAGGATGCTCTGTGTACATCACGCTTGCCCAGGTTACAAGCCTTTAAACCACATTCTGGATTCTGAACCAGTCATAACTTTTTTGCAAGTAAGGCAATTTTCTCCAAAGTCAACTCTTCTCATAAAACAATTAAATAAATCACCTCCAAGGTGGAGGGGCAGCACTTTCAGGGAACACAAAGCTGCCAACCTGTCACCTCACCGTCTGTCACTGCTTCTGACAGCAGACAGAAACTGTTTCACCCCATGAGAAGTTAAAAGTGACAAGACAAAAACACTGTACATTTACATCAAAGATAAAGTTGTAATAGCAACATTTGCCAGTTGTAATTGCAATATTTTCCCTGTGAACAGCATGACATAAATACAAAACTTCTGTTAAAAATGAGCAACACTCAGCCAAATTAACCAGTTTGCTATTTATGACAAGTCCTCCCCAGTCACACTATGGATTACTTTAATTAGTGGCACTTTTGTGTAACAACAGGAAGCCACAAAGCATCACAAAACAAATGCAAGAAACAGAAGTTTCAACTTACTGTGGAGTTAGTGCAGGATGCTTTTCTGCAGACAAAATGCCAAGAAATTGCTACAGTGTGCATGCTTTGGGCAGGGGTGAATTCCAAGCTTAAGCTTTTGCTGTTATTGCTATGAAGTTGTACAATGCCTCTGGATTCATTAATTTCTTTTTAAAATGCACAAAAATTCATTTTGGAAGAGGATATTACAAAGTAATTCCACTAACAGCATTTCAAATTTTATCTGTACTGAGAAACAGCCTGGATAAGGTCTGTGTTTCTCTGGCCAGTTCTAGAAACACAACATTTCATTTGAGTTCACATTAAACAGGACAGCAAGCTTGGAAAGCCTCTGCAGCTGTCTTTTTGGAATGTACTGACTGGCTAATCACACCACAAAAATGCATGCCCCCAAATTAAATGAGTAAAATCTTGAGGAGGTGCACCCTGATGAATATGTACCTACACTTGAAAGCCCAGTAGGTCCTTTGACAGCGCTGTTTGCCTAGCCCAGATCCTTGCAGTAGTGTCTGTGAGCATCAGGTGTTTCTGACAGATACAGACATTGCCAGGTACTTCTCAACATACCCCTGATGCAGAATTTGAGACTTCCCAGTAACTAAACTGAGCCAAAACCCAACAGGCTGCAGACAACCACACTGGTAAACTCAGGGTCCTCAGCCTGCTCACTAGTAATACCTTCATTTTGGAACCAAAAGCCAGCACACGCTTCTTACACAATCTTTACTGGCACGTTCTAAGCACCTATCAAACTGGGGAGGGGAAAATAATTTTTCCCCTTGTGCTCCCCCAAAAGCAGTCAGGATTGCTGCTCCCAGCCCCAGCCCCAGTTTCTCTTGGCAGTGTCAGCACAAACTGGGGCTGGTGCGTGTGTCAGCTGACAGATGGATCTCAATCTGCCGGCTCTGCCTGCGAGGACGCGGCGCTGCTCCATATGCTCCAGCTCGGAGCGCCGCGCTCGCGCCGGCAGCCATCCACCACAGTTAATATTAATTAACTAATAACGTGCAGAATCTCATGCTGAATTATAAATGAAGAAAGAAGCGCTGCTTGTTTACACATTCAGTGCCAGAATTTTTCAGGAAAGGAAATAAAAGCACTTCTGCCAACAAGCATGTGAGCTGCCAGATGGACAGATAATAGATAAACATATAAGACACAGTATTGCTAATGCAAAATTCAAGTTCATTGAATTGTCTTCACACTTCATTGAAATTCTAGGAATAATTAATGCCAGAGTACTGTGGAAGGGTTTCTAACACTTTAATGTGGGAGTTTTGCAATCAGAATTTCAGAAAACTCATAGGGAAAAATAACAGCCAGAATAGAGGCAAGAAATGAAATGAAATAAAACCTCTCCAAGCTGTCAATAAGCAAAGCAACACTTGAAATCCAGCCTTTCTCTCTTTCCTTCATCTCCTCAAGAAGTCCCACAGGAACTATTTTGCTGATGTGAAGTAACTTCAATATGGATTCAAGAACTCCAAGTTTCTGGATGGCTGCTCTTGCAGCGGCACAAACCCAGCTCATCTCACACCTTTGAAATGTTTCTATCTATCATGCACTACTGCATTTCTTAGATTCAGGTTCTGGCAGTTCTCATTAAGAATCTTTCTGACCCCAGTAAAGATCAAAGATTTCTCTAGCTCATTAATTTAAAAAAAAAAAAAAAAATTCAACATGTTCAATGTCCTTTGCAGCTGCACAACAACACTGCTCTTCTGAGAGCTGGGAATTTCACCTGTGTTTCTGGTGCTTTTCAAAATTTTTTCCAAGATGGGTCACAGACAAGCCATGTGACTGAATGTTTCATTTCATAAACCTCCTATGTATTTCTGCCATCAGAACTCAGCAGAGCGACAGCTGAGCTGGCCAAAGAGAAAAGGAGGAAAGGTTGGTGAGGATCACATCTGCACACCACATTCACGTTTCCTCACGTGTCTGGGCAGTTTCAGCTGGGGCAGGATTGGACCCTTCACACAAGTGCACGGGTACAGGAAAAAGCCGCAAGTTGGAGCCAGGGAAATTCCAGGGTGAAAGAAGTAAAAAATTTCCAGTGAGGGCAATTAAATTCTGCAACAAGTTGCCCAAAGAATATGCAGTGACTGCAGTCTGACAGATTTTGAAAAGTACCCTGGACAAAGCTCCAAGCAAGGGGACATGGGCTGGGCCTGCTCTGAGCAGGAGGTGGGAGCAGGTGACATTTGGAGTCCCTTCCAAGAAAATTGGTATTTAAGTCTAGAACTCATTTTCCTATGATCTGACACTTAAAAAGATTCAAGATTTGAACGAATTATCAAAGGACTAAAGTATGGCTAGCTGAAAATCACACACAGACACACATATGTGGAGGGACAGAATCTCACACTAAGAAATCTGCTGCAGTGTGAGCTTCCCAAGTAACACGTTTGCAACCAGACAGATCCTCCAACACAGCCCTCACAGTGCAAGACTGCTGGGATCTGCAGGCTACTTTGGTATTGATTCACACGATTTCCAGCATTCCTGACAAGGATTACAAGTTTCCTGTACAAGGCTGTTTGCTCACTGTGTGTGGAGTAACAGCTAAAGTTACACCAAGCAATAGCACCCGAGCTTGGAATCGGATGCAGATTTTCAGATGTCCACTCTCAGAGAATGGCACTATCTCCAGAACATTTGGTTATCAGACCATATGCCTCACAAATCTGAACCTACACTTTCTAACCTTGTAAAAAACTTGTAAAGTCAACTACATACGCAGGCCAGATTTTTTTGTTTTTTAAAATTCTATTTGGGAAGACTTTGAAAAACACTGTTCTACTTGTTAGTATCAACACTTTTCCCACCACAGTGGGAACCATGTCTGTTCTGAACAAGCATATGCACACTACTAAGTCCTGAAAATTCACATGACTATGGAATGCCAGCTACCAATGAATTTCATGTTGTGATCTTTTTTATTAATTTGCACTTACCTCCCTTTGCTATTAAAGCAAAACCTTTAAGAGGTTTGTCTTGCCATTTCACTTGGTCCTTTTCCCATTATTTTCTTGGTAGCAGCACAGTGAGAATAAATAATTAGAT